TTAAAATTTGCCTCTCATTAATCACGAGATTTTGAGCATTTTTCTAATATGTTCGTCATAAAAATGAAAAAGGGACATTTGGCCTTTGACATTTCAGTAGCCATGAGATAAAAAGGAATACAAAAGACTACACATACCCATCAGCACGCCTACACTGTCCAGGGCGTGAAGAGATTGAAGCTAATAAACTGCCACTGCCAAATTTCTCCTCAACAAGGGGATCAAGCTTGCGATCCTGTTGACGCTTTTCAATTTTTCTCAGGACATGGTTGCTCTTCTTCGTCTCTTTAGCAGCAGCGGCATCAGCATCCTAATTAAATCCCAGCAAACAAAAGTTATTAAAAAGCTCTGAATAGATATTCTTCAATAGACTTTGTTTAAAACAAGAGCATATATTAAAAAATATGTCCACGCAATTGGCATCTTCCTCCTTTAAATCATGTCAAGACATTTCTTATGCCTCCCAGACTGGAGCGCTCAATTTCTTATTTTACCCTAATCCCGATAAGAAACTCCAACTTAAATATGTCTTACATTTTTATTAGCAAATAATAGATATTGATACCAATAGAGTTAAAATGCAATATAGATTGCGTATTTCAGTAACTCTACTTCACATGTTTTTCCCAGTTGCTCCCTGGTCTTTAGAAACGTCCTCAATGATGCCTTCAAATGTATTATATAGCTTCATTGATGGTCTCGATGCATTGCAATCTTGTCCATCAACTCACAGTTCAGCTACTAATATGTACCTAATTATATTAGTATCTAATTGGAGTAAAATGTGCTTTGTGAGCAATAAAAATTTATGAAGCACTTTCGAGTCTAACAAAAAGTACTGGGTAAAGTATATCCTAAAGCAGTAGAAAAGAAAGATAGTTCATTACTTCTCCTTCCTTCTTGGCAGCTGTCTTCTTCTTGCGACCAATGTCAACTCCATAGTGCTGAAGATACCACTGCTTGAATGGTGCAGCATCCACTTGAACAATGGCACTCTTCACCAAAGTCTGGGTCCTAACCAACTCATTGTTTGATGCATTATAAACCACATCAAGTATACGGGTCTTACGGGTCACAGCTTCACTCCCCCAAGAATAGTTTCCTGTATCCAGCCTCAACGCACGCCACTTCACATTACCTCCTCGAACTCTCACCCTTCTTACTGTTTTGTTACTTGACAACTTAGTGTTTGCAGGTTGCCTTCCAAGCTCATACCTACGAGTAGACAGAGAATAGATTAATCCAATAACAATCACATGGGAGTAATAAGTTACGTCAATCAGAATTCAGATCTATGTTGTCATAGCTAAATAAAAAAAAAATAAAAAAAAAATATTCATAAACTGTTTAATGGTTGAATAACTGAACTAGCATCTTAGAATAGAAATGGAGGAAATTCATTGGTGCGATCTTTTTTTAATTTTGACAAGAAATTTAAAAATGTATATATTGTTTTCTAAATCTGATTTATTGAACAGCGTTTCATTCTAGAAAACCCTATTTGCTAAAAAATTTAAAATTTCAGTCATACAGACTTCAATAAAACACACTGTGAATTGCATAAAAATAATGCAACAAGATGTATTGGGAATCGAAATAAACCAAGGACACATACACAAAAACACATATTAGACAAAGCAACCAATAAATCAAAATCACTAATGACAAAAAATTTAAATATGAAATAAGTAAAAATTACTTTCTCTTCTTTCTCCAAGCTTTCTTCTTGTCTCCAGTGGCTCTCCTCTTGTGCATCGAGTCCCGTGAAATACCTGTACACAAACAACATTGCAGTCAATTCATACGGAATCGGTGTATACAATGCGAAACGTGTATAACATATTAAAAGACACAAGAAGTGAATAAATTGATCTGTTACCCATGGTTGCAAGTGGCGGTTTCTAGGGTTCCGGCGAGTCCACTAATTATTGCAGAGGAAGAATCGGCGGGACAAAACTTCAAGCCACGCAATAGAAGAAGTATAAATTGTAGATAGCCCACTTCAAAACCCTAGTTGATTTAATTATGGTAGAGATTTTGAGAATTGATTTTTTGATAGTTAGGAGAAAATTAGGCTCCATCTGTGAGAAAAGAAATAGTGAAATAATAGTCAAAAAATTAATTTTTTAAGCCAAAAAATAACTCTCAAACAAGCTGCTAATATTTTAAATTTAAACGACGCCGTCCGCAGCATATAAAGCTGTCCTTTTATGTCTTTAACCCAGATGCCTATGAATGTTCGTATGAGACCCCCAAGAATTATCATAAATTACATACAGACCCAAGAAGTTTTGTTTCCCTCACCAAAAAGATCTTTGCCCCTAGGAATTTTTACAATTTCCTTCCACTTAAAATCCTTTTTATTTAACTTAGAGTATTATAAATAAATATTTGCTAAAAGCCAAATAAATTTTTATTCACATATTCCGTGAGATTCAAAAGTATTATATACTTATTGTCACTCATTTCTACGTGTTTATAAACAAATAAACACTTGTGAAACACGTGCTTAGTTAAAAACACCATTAGTTAGGAATTAATAGAGTCTTTCAATTTAGTCACCAAATTTTATGTTTCAATTTAATTTTTGAAAGTTTAGACAAAAATAATGAAAAATTTATAAATTTATACACCGAAAGAAATTAAATGATGTGATTTAGAAAGTACGTTAATGCTTTAGGTTTGTAGTTAATTAGTTATACATTTATCAAAGTGCAAAATTTTCAAGAATTTGTTATAAGAATTAGGGATGGCAATGGGCAGGATAGCCCTTTGCTCGAGCACTGTCAGATATTTTGGGGAGGTGCAGTGGGGATAAGGTGGGATCAGGATAAAAACGTTCTTGTGCCAATGTTCCCATTTGGCCATTCATATCTTATTAAATATCAACATCAAAGGATAGGGAAAAAAAAAAGTTTGTGTCTTTTAATGGAAATTTTAAACTATCAAAATTCTTCAGCAGGGCTCAATCAAGAAGGTTATTTTGCTGCAAACTAGAGGGAATTAATTTTCAAGAGAGAACAAGCCCAGATGACGTATGTTTTGATGCAATTTCAGCATTGTATTTCTTCTCTAATGGATAGCTCGAGTCTTTAGGCAAATGTTTACGAAAATTGTGCAACTCTTGGGCCTTTCAAGAAAAAAAAAATGTATCTTTTTTTTTTCTTTTTGATGACGGGGGAACTGTATCTTGCTTGTATAAAGAAACGTGTTGAAGACAATCTAAATAAATAAATTTATGTTCTTCTTAACGGCTTAATCTTTTAGACACATTGCTTCAAAAGCGTCAATATTGACAAAAGACGCCAATTTAGCGTACTATGCAAAGAAAATGATGCTCATGATTATGAATAATTTATTAATTTATTATCCGAACGAGAATATAAACCTAAATAAATAGTAGATCCCTTTTCAGATGCATGAAGATACACAAGTTGCTAGATTTCAAGCTCTCCGATTACTATTTTATTTGGAAGATTGCAAGCCGGGGGCTGGACTCGGGCTCATGGACGTTGTATCTACTGGGTTTATAGCTACAGGTTCTGATCGTACGGCTGTTGTTGCCCTTCCTAGTGGGATTGGCACTTTAGATGAAACGTTTGAAATTCTTGCATTGATTCAACTCGAAAGAATTGGATCTATGCTTCCTGTTCCCTTTCTTTTGATGAACTACGACTCTTTTTATTCAAAGTTGCTCGATTTTCTCGATGATTGTGATGTCTCGGGTACCCTCTCCAAGGGTGAGTTAACATCATCATTTAAACTGGAAAGCTCGTGACAATAACTCGGAATCTTTGGATTATCTCGCGGCGATCACTAAGTCTCCATTTGGTCCTCATTTCTTAAAACACATTTTTCTTCGAACTCGTTTTCAACCACACATTTCATAGGGCCCTCAATTTTAATAGTTTTTCAACCATAACTTTTGTAAAAAATCTACTAAAAAACTGGTTTTAGCAAAACCATAACAATTCATTAAAAACAACTACACATGAAAAAGAGAGGTGGTAGTTCTTTCTATATAACAAAGCAGCTGAGAAAAAAACCATGGCCACTATAAGAAGAAAGTCAGACACCCTACTTGGATTCCATAGGACAAAAAAAAAAAATCATAAAAATGAACATTTTTTCATCCTAGATCCTAGGTTTTGTCCCAAGTTGATGGCATTTTTTACATGATAGTGCAACAGCCACTACTTTCGAAGCTCAAGGGCGGGGCCGTTGGCGGTGGCACATGCTCGTACGAGGATTCTAAACAAGCTTCTTGAAATGCTTGTCGGAAAGGAAAATAACGACCATATTCATCGTAGCCGCTCATCCAGTAACCGTGTGGATTATCGTGGTTCGGCAAAAATAAGTTGCTCGGACACTGTCCAAATTGAAACCAACATAATTCTGCATGTCTTCCAACTTTTCCAAGCTTCTTCATAAGTAATTTTGGATCAATCAAACCTGACACGCGCACAATGCCGAATTCATCCATCTTGAAACTTCGTACTCCTTTATTCGATACGCAAAAAAAAAAAAAATCAGAATATATCATGAAAATAAGTGTTTTTATAAGAAATTAATTATTTTGTACCTCGGCTACTGGATAGCACACCCCTGACTGCCTTTTGCCATCCTGGACTATGTACATTTACTCTCAGAATACATGACTGGAGGAAAAAAAATACAAAAAGAACATGATTTTCTTTTTGATAAAATGGAAAATACAGATGAAATATAATGAGAGAATATAATACCATGAATGCGGAATTGTCTTCTTTAAATGAACGAATCCATTTGCAAGGTGCCATTGATGAGATTTTTTCGACAAAGTTTTTCTTAAAATACAAGAAATGTCCATTCTTTTGGAGCTTAAATAGAGTGTGATGGATTTTTATTATTATTTTTTTTTTTTTGGAAATGAAGAAAATGGCGTGATTCAAGAGGAAATTATATTGGTTACAAAATTGAATTCTGGAAATATTCCATTTTTATTTCCTCAAAAATGGCTAATTGACATGAATGAAATAAATCAAGTTAATTGATATGATAGAGTAAAGATATGTTTGCTTATTTTGGACATAAATCTTTTATAAGAGAAGACAAAAAATTTCAAAATCTCGCAGTAAAATAATACCAACTTGGATAAGTTTTATGATAGACATAGTAAACACTCGTTGGCATGCCAATGTTTAGTTTGAGAAAATATAAAATAAACCACAGGTCGACAACGTGGTTCCTACGGAAGTGAGAATACATGTTCTTGTCTCTCTTGTTAGTGGATGCCACCATTGGCTTCAACTAGTCGAGCTCTTTCATGTCCCAAATTTCCATTAATACCTTAGCCATTGGAGCATTTAAAGGGATGAAGGCTTTTACCTCTTCTAATCTTTGCTTGATTGACCGATCCTACGCATATCCTTTGCCCACATGCTCGTTGTTTGACTTATTTTTATTGGCAGATTTTCTCTCGTCGCGTGATTTTTCCTTGTTAGTTTTTGGCTCCCGTCCTTCTTAAAGGTTTCTTGTGACCCTCTCTGCTTCCTAGGTGTCTACATATTTGTTTCCCTTTTTCAACAGATCATGCATTGACTCCTAGGGCTTTTCGAGAGTGACATCTTAAAGGCTCAATTCTGGGTCCCATTCAACATTGCAGTGACTATCGAGCTTAAATAGAGTGTGATGGATTTTTTTTTATTTTTTTTTTGGAAATGAAGAAAATGGCGTGATTCAAGAGGAAATTATATCGGTTACATAATTGAATTCTGGAAATATTCCATTTTTATTTCCTCAAAAATGGCTAATTGACATGAATGAAATAAATAAAGTTAATTGATATGATAGAGTAAAGATATGTTTGCTTATTTTGGACATAAATCTTTTATAAGAGAAGACAAAAAATTTCAAAATCTCGCAGTAAAATAATACCAGCTTGGATAAGTTTTATGATAGACATAGTAAACACTCGTTGGCATGCCAATGTTTAGTTTGAGAAAATATAAAATAAACCACAGGTCGACAACGTGGTCCCTATGGAAGTGAGAACAAATGTTCTTGTCTCTCTTGTTAGTGGATGCCACCATTGGCTTCAACTAGTCGAGCTCTTTCATGTCCCGAATTTCTATTAATACCTTAGCCATTGGAGCATTTAAAGGGATGAAGGCTTTTACCTCTTCTAATCTTTGCTTGATTGATCGATCCTGCAAATATCCTTTGGCCACATGCTCGTTCTTTGACTTTTTTTATTGGCAGATTTTCTCTCGTCGCGTGATTTTTCCTTGTTAGTTTTTGGTTCCCGTCCTTCTTAAAGGTTTCTTGTGACCCTCTCTGCTTCCTAGGTGTCTACATATTTGTTTCCCTTTTTCAACAGATCATGCATTGACTCCTAGGGCTTTTCGAGAGTGACATCTTAAAGGCTCGATTCTGGGTCCCATTCAACAGTGCAGTGACTATCGAGCTTAAATAGAGTGTGATTGATTTTTTATTTTTTATTTTTTTTTGGAAATGAAGAAAATGGCGTGATTCAAGAGGAAATTATATCGGTTACATAATTGAATTCTGGAAATATTCCATTTTTATTTCCTCAAAAATGGCTAATTGACATGAATGAAATAAATCAAGTTAATTGATATGATAGAGTAAAGATATGTTTGCTTATTTTGGAAATAAATCTTTTATAAGAGAAGACAAAAAATTTCAAAATCTCGCAGTAAAATAATACCAGCTTGGATAAGTTTTATGATAGACATAGTAAACACTCGTTGGCATGCCAATGTTTAGTTTGAGAAAATATAAAATAAACCACAGGTCGACAACGTGGTCCCTATGGAAGTGAGAATACATGTTCTTGTCTCTCTTGTTAGTGGATGCCACCATTGGCTTCAACTAGTCGAGCTCTTTCATGTCCCGAATTTCCATTAATACCTTAGCCATTGGAGCATTTAAAGGGATGAAGGCTTTTACCTCTTCTAATCTTTGCTTGATTGATCGATCCTGCAAATATCCTTTGCCCACATGCTCGTTCTTTGACTTATTTTTATTGGCAAATTTTCTCTCGTCGCGTGATTTTTCCTTGTTAGTTTTTGGCTCCCGTCCTTCTTAAAGGTTTCTTGTGACCCTCTCTGCTTCCTAGGTGTCCACATATTTGTTTCCCTTTTTCAACAGATCATGCATTGACTCCTAGGGCTTTTCGAGAGTGACATCTTAAAGGCTCGATTCTGGGTCCCATTCAACATTGCAGTGACTATCGAGCTTAAATAGAGTGTGATGGATTTTTTTTTATTTTTTTTTTGGAAATGAAGAAAATGGCGTGATTCAAGAGGAAATTATATCGGTTACAAAATTGAATTCTGGAAATATTCCATTTTTATTTCCTCAAAAATGGCTAATTGACATGAATGAAATAAATCAAGCTAATTGATATGATAGAATAAAGTTATGTTTGCTTATTTTGGAAATAAATCTTTTATAAGGGAAGACAAAAAATTTCAAAATCTCGCAGTAAAATAATACCAGCTTGGATAAGTTTTATGATAGACATAGTAAACACTCGTTGGCATGCCAATGTTTAGTTTGAGAAAATATAAAATAAACCACAGGTCGACAACGTGGTCCCTATGGAAGTGAGAATACATGTTCTTGTCTCTCTTGTTAGTGGATGCCACCATTGGCTTCAACTAGTCGAGCTCTTTCATGTCCCGAATTTCCATTAATACCTTAGCCATTGGAGCATTTAAAGGGATGAAGGCTTTTACCTCTTCTAATCTTTGCTTGATTGATCGATCCTG